AAAGAATAAATTGGTAAAATATAAGTTGCTACAAACAGTTAACAATAAGCGTCATATATTCTTACATAAATAAATCTTGTGACAATAATGGATAAAGATTCGTTCAACATTCCAGAAAAAACGCGTTGTGCCATTTTTGGAGATACGGTACTCCATAAATCTGTCTTCGTTCCTAAAAATATGAAATCAACTATAAAGATATGCAATAAATAAGAAACATAAAATTGAAACATGTTATATTTCTGATATATATAAAGCTCTTTTGCTAATAAATTTCATACAATCTATCATATTTCTCAAGCGTTGTTTAAACAGATTTGTTTAACTGTTATTTAGTACTGTCTCGTTTCGGAAAAAATCTTTTACTTAGGGAAATTCTCTAAAAACATGTTGAAGAATTCTTTGTCAAAATGAAATTCTTTTGATAAAGAAAAATTGGTAAAAAGATAGTATAAAAGAACGTTTTATACTTTTGAGATAAAAAATATTATATAAAGCAAAAGCTACCAGAACTGTACGTATATATTTCAAAACGATACAAACTTTCCTAATTTTCCGAATTCATATTTTAATATCGGATGCTACATTGTTCGTCATTTTCATTCAGCAAAAATATACTGCTTCCTAACTTTATAACGTGTAATGAAGATTACCTTGCATATACAGCCACCACATTTGTATTACGAAAGAGCATCGTTCCCGTTCAAAAAATGATTTAGTATCATGCCAACTAAGTGAATCAGCTTCATTAAGTATATATAACGAAATTAAACGACAATGCAAATCCAATAGCCGCTCTGCTACAGCTTCAGCCATTTCATGATAAGATTTATACGATGCGTTTAATTTCTCACTATGCCGAAGAAAAATTATAAAAATTAGAAATTGAAGAACTCGTGATACGATTGATTGGAAATTATTGGAAATTATAATAAACTAACACCTTGACTGTACGGAAATCAAATTTTTAGCTTGTCGATTGTAACACCATAAACAATTTCGTACTAATGCAGCTGCTCCTAAAGTAGCTGTTAATACTGTTAAATCAGCATGATCTAATGATTCTTGGATAAGCAGATGCAAATGTTCTGAAATAATATTATTGTTACAGAATGTGTATATTAAGAGATCTGTTATAAATTTCATTTTTATTTCAGTAAAAAGGAAAAAAACTTTGCTATTTACTTAGCTAAATATTTACAATGACTTAATTTTTCTTCCATCTTTTCCGAACAGAGTTATAGTTTTTTTACCTAATAATTTATCGGCAGTGTCAACAACAAGTAATACAAATTCAGACGGTTGGATTTTTTTAATAACTTTCTCTTCATTTTCTGCGGTTGATTTATTTTCCATTAAACTTGTTAAACCAGAATGACGTTGAAAAGCAGCTTGAAAATCTGCTTCCCACCACGCAACGATTTTAACTGCCACAAATGATGCATGTCTTGGAAAATCAAGTTTTCCACCAGTAATACGCGTGCAAACCGGTTCTTTTAATACCGTTTGCATTTCCTGTATCATTACGATATATAAATTATTGCGGTATAGTAAAGCACGTAAGAATAATAGTACCTGATAATACTGCATATCCCGTTGTAATAAAATTCTAACACGATCTACTAAGTTGCCATCTTCCATAATCTCCATTTTCGTTGTTTCTTCGATAATAATGTTCTTAAAAATAGATAAATATATAAAAATATTTATCAACGATAAATTTTAGATAATAATATCAAGCGATACTCAATTTGCATATTATTTATTTACATAAAGCATATTCGATAAATAATTTATACAAAAAAGTGTATTGATTGTTGAATATATTATTTTTCATAGTATTGTCAAATATATTATTTGTCACTATTTTTTATGGCAATGTTCAAATTTTTGTGTATTATATTTCTTCTTCTGTTACATAATTTATATGTGCATATAAATAATAAACTTCTAAATTATTTTATGTTTATAACAAAGCAATGAACAAAATATGTGCCATTCTAATATGCAAGTGTCCATATCTCACAAAAATATAAATACTCACACAAATATATTACAATGTTTTATCTGTTTTATATTATTATTATATGTATATATATACATAGATTGTAAAATTGTAAATTTCCACTTTAGTAGATTTAGTTATTTGAATTAATATAACAACTTCAATCATCAATAAATGGAATTAAAGACCTTTCATTGTTGCTTCTTTTTCTTTGCCACTAAAGGAACATTTATTAAAGTTTGTTTGGTCCCTTATAATTGCTGGTATTTCATTATTAAGTAATTCGTGTAATGTTTTTCCATCATGTTTATAGATCCATCTACCATTTAAAAAATCATATCGTTTCGGACCAGACTTTGGAGAAGATAACCAAATTTGTTTATTTGGAGTCTGACGATTTATAACGTATGTACCATGAGAATTACCAAACTTAATAGTTAATACTCCATCCTATAACAGCAATTGCTGTATTATTATTTATAAATCATGTAACACAGTGATATAAACTTTGCTAATAAAACATACCCCATACGATACATCTGCATCTGATAAATGTGTTGCTTGCTCTATTAGTTCATCAAAATATTCTGTTAAAGAGTCAAGTGTTTCATCAGAAACTTTCTCAAATTGTACAGGTGTTAATTCTCTGTATAAAAGAAAGACTTTACTATATATTATTCATTACTTATCAATATACTTTTATACTCTTACATAACTACATAAATTAAAAATTAATTAAAGTTTCTTAAAGAAGAAGCAAAATAAATACATCTTTCTCTATTTTATAATGAAATACACAAGGACATCAAAATGTATTAATAATTCCAATGTTTAAATGTCACTAACAAGAGTTATGAAGTTACAAAATTATATAAACAAAATAATTTGTCACTGTTAGTATTACATACTTACTGTGCAACTGAAAATCCGGTACTATTATTTGAGCTGAAATAAGCTATTAATTTATAATTTAATGTCTTTACTTCATTACGTTTATTTGTATACTTTTTAGAGTGCAATACAAGATAACCTATACTTTTTGGATACTTTACATCGATCGTTTGCATTAAACATCTGTTTATAATCTTTGATACTAAATCGTACGATAAAATTGAAAAACTGCTTCTTGTTACACTTCTAGTTAATAGCATGATACAAATTTTTTATATATTGTATATTGATCAAACGAAACGCCGCGTCGAAGGGACACATCGCCATGCGTATACTTTGCGCAATATGGGTATGAGATATACATATATAAAATGCATATGTGTGTATTTAAGTGATTGTATTACAGCGATTGTACACTTTTGTACAAGGGATTATTTGTACTTATAACGCGGGAATTACGTTTCACAGTATATGTATTCTGTGTTGTACGAAAATCACGTGAAAAAACTAAAATAAATTCTTAGTAATTCAAAGTAATACACTTAATTCTGCATATGTAGTAATAATTACGTAAGTCCTCTTTATCGTACAAAACTAAATATGATTTTCAAATCAATTTAAAAACGAGTTGAATCTAATTAATTCTAGACACTGCTTATTAATTTCAATGAGGATTAAATTGTAATATATTTAATAAATAAGATATTGGACAGAAAATTAAGAAAGAAATTCGAAAAAATGCAGGAGCAAGCGATTATGTTAATGTTATTATTAACGAGATCAGTGTAGAGTGGGCAACAATCTATATGCAACTTTCTACAGTGTTTTCCTCATTTTCGCGCCGAGAGTCTGGAGATAATTTCTGTTTTATCAGCTAAATCACTCTTAAGAAACATGTTTCGTTACAACATTATTTTCATTTCAATTTTCTTATTATTGGTAAGCTATCTTATACTAGTAGATTCTTACGTGCCACCTACGCCAACGTTTGAAATTTTAAATCCAAAAGGAATTCGCATATCAATACCAGGTAAGTAAATAATAACCATTATCAAGTGATACAGTATACTGTCAATTTTTTTTTTTTTTATTCCAAAATTGTCATATATTTTTGTTATATGTTGGTTTTATTGGACAAAATCTTACAAAATTGTATGTCTTTATTATAATAACTAATTTTACACGATATTTTACACGTGATTTCTAAAGACTTTTTACTAATAAAAAGTAATAAACTTTTTCTAAAAAATTAAATTATTACACTAAGATAAATTAAGATATTTATTAACATTTATTAATAAAAATGAAGTAAACTAAATCTGTATTTTAAAATCTACAAAGTAGAATAATATGAGTTGTTATTGATACTTTGTTATCAATATTGACCACTTCTCTTTGTTATCAACAAATTACTTCTTCAGTTCTAGCACATACATCTGTTTTTTTCCTTATAGTAAGTTTATGCAATGAACAAATTCTTAAAAAGCTAAATTACATGATAATAATAATTACATAGATATTTTTACTAGAGCTTTCTCGTCAGAAATTTTTTTAGAAATTTCGTATATAATACAGTCATTTTATTACGTATTTATTCAAAAATTTCATTTTTATTTTAACAATATGTTTTCTATAATAAATACAACGTATTCTTTCAATTTTATAACAGATGAACCAAACTTGCAATTTTTTGCGTTTCAAGGGAATATAAATAAGGATATTGAATTAAACGAAATGGGGCGAATATCGAACGAAGTATATAAAAAGAATAATGGAAAATGGACAATTCAAAATCAAAATATAAACTTAGTAAAAGGAAATGTTATATATTATTGGATTTACGTGCAAGTTAATAAAGTAATGTATAACAAAAAAGGAACCTGGAAAGGTATGAACATTTACCTATATTGCACATTTATATTATTTGCATTGTTATTCTTAATACAATTGTAACTAATACAAATGTTACTAAAATATTTGAATTAATGATAAACTTACTGATAATGTAATAAAATATATTGATAATGAAAAAACGATTCTTCAAAGTGTTAAAATTATTGTTAAATAAGTAAAAATTACATATGGCTGTATATCGTTATATGGTATAAATAAAATTTGTATCAGTATACACATAACAAATATAGAAAAGTATTTTCTAATTATAGTTAGTCAGTTAGTGTTCAATGAAGCTTTCAACTCCTTTAATAAATCAATTTGGGAACGTGAAGTGAAAATACCGTTAAGTCCAGTAAGTTAATACACTAAATACATTAGTTTTGATAATAAAGTTTGGTACATAGTTGTTCTTGTTATAGGACTATGAATTTTGTATTTACCACAATGAACAACATCCAACAGCATCTGTTAAAAATGGGATACTCAAAATCAAACCAATGCTTTTAGAAAAAGAGTATGGTGAAAATGCAAGTCTATATGGAACATTACAACTTAGCGGGTGAGTGTAATTTAAAACATAGGATCCATTACAAAACTGTCCGATTAAAATTAAATTTAACTCCTAAAGATGTCTTTTGTTTGTAAAAATTATGGAGTTACAGAGATTATATTTAGATAGAATTTAAAGTGTTTTTATTCATCATAGGTGCACTAGTAAGATTCCAGCTGAATGTATGCGTAAAGCTACATCGTTCAATATTTTACCACCTATTATATCTGCCAGATTAATTAGCAGTTTCCATTTTCGATACGGTAAAATTGAAATAAGAGCAAAGTTCCCTGAAGGTGACTGGTTATATCCAGGTAAATATTAATTCTGATGGAGAACGACATCTGTGTACTATCAACAATTTCAATAAATTTCATAATTTTATTATTACATATAAACAAAATCAATACGTGACCATCACATTTACTATTACCACTCAAATCATTACAGAAATCACTATTAGACTTGCCTAATTAAACATTGTACTCAATTCCAACAGAAATGTGGCTTAAACCGAAGTATGGTTATTATGGTTCCGATTATTCCAGCGGATGCATTAACCTCGGTCTTGCACGTGGAAATAATAATTTAATTAACGCCAATGGAAGCATCTATGATTCAAGACGATTAGATTTTGGAATCCTTATAGGTAGAGATACAAACGTTACAAACTACAACGCGTTCCCTCAGATACTAGAAAATGGTTGGACAAAAGATTTTCATACTTACACAACAATTTGGGATCTTGAAGGATTCCAATTTTTCGTAGACGATAAAAAAGTTGATAAATTAGTTCCTCCAACGGATGGTTGGATGTATGGGAGTGATTTGAATAAAATGGCACCTTTTGATCAAGAAGTATGCATTTAAAACACTAACATATATATATATATATATATATATATATATA